AGCCCTGAGCAATATTATTCTTCAATTAAAATAAAGAACTTGACTTTAGGAGGAAGCAAGTTATGTTTATATAGCATCAGCAACGCATAGAAAATATTCACCACATATCTGAAGACAGACAAGGCTTCGATTGTTTAAATGTTCTGCTCACTTCATAGATACTAAGGCATGCTGTCCTATCTTAATTTTTTAAACTGTTACTTACTTTCATATTTTTGGCATCCTAGGTAAAAGCTAATGCTCCTTCATTAACTACCTCCTTGATTTTGATGTAAAATTTCCTTTTGCATGGTATGAAAGATTATGCCACCTCACCTTCAAAATGTGCATTTTCTGTAAATTTCTGTAAATTGCTGCTCCTCTGCACCAACCACACCAGTCCCCACCAGTACACACACACAAAGCTGCAAAAATTAAGGGGAACTTTGTGCTGCGTAGTGATGCTTATAGTTTAAAAATAATATCTGTTCGAGAGCCAACTAAAAATGTCATAGCTATGTAGGTTTGATTTGGGTTTTTTTGTTTTTGTTTTTTCACAGCCCCATTGCCTTTCCCTGGTATTTAGATCATTTGGATAACTGGCAACCCAGATTAGAACTGAAGTGCTGCAAAGCAGCTAAAGCCATGCCTTAAAGGCGTGAAGGAGAGGAGTTGAATTTGTTAAAATACTTAATAGTAGGTTAAAGACACCTAGAAAGTTGGTTTTACAGGCTTGCCGATTGGAAGCTGCAGATTTTTGTATCAGGATGCCAACTGCCAGCTCTATGGAATGTTACAGAACATTTCAAAGTTTTGGTTTTTTTTAAAAAAAAATCTTAAGAAATATGTAGTCTGGGGTCTTTTTTTTTTTCCCTTTAAGATGCCAAATGCATATCAACTCAGGTCCTGAACTACCACTTCATCAATAAACTATGTATCTGTTATAAATAAGTCATGGCATTTTAAAAGTTATGATCAATTTAAAATCTTATTCTAAAATAAATTATGTAACAAATTAAAATAAATTTGCTTTGAGTTAATCCATCAGTGCTTCTATTTGGATCTGCCTATGTCAGTTCCATAAAAGATTTATCCTCTCAGTTAGGGAGGATAGCGAGAGCAAGGGACCAGATGGAGAGAGCTGGTATACATTTCCATGTCTCCATCTTTCTTTCTACTTATCTGTCTTTTTAATGACAACCATTAATGGAAGTGAAGGGAGAGCAGCCAATATCACCTAGTAGTATTTTAATTACAATTGGGTAGCCATTTCAGATACACTTAAGTGTGTGTTAAATCTGAAGTTAACTCTTTTCTCTTTCAAAGATAAGGTTGGGTTGCATTTTTTAGTTTTTTTAATTAGTTTTTCTTTCTGCATTCACCTGTTGGATGGGGTTGGGGGGAGACAAATGCGATTTTAAGAATATTTTAATGTTATGCAAAGGAAAACAGTTAGTGGGCACTTTTGCAAAAGGGGAGGAGGACGACTCCCAGGTAGTGCAGCAATATAGGAGAGCAGACCTTAAGGTGTTTGTGCTCCGCCTGCTGAGAAGTAGGGTCTCAGCTGTCCATTAACAAGTTAAAAGAAGAGAAGCTGAAACTCAGAAGGGAAAGAGTCAGGCGTACACCCGCGCCTCAAGCAGTCTCTTTCTCTTTGTTTTTAAATGCTACTGCAGTGTTGTTCCTCACTGTCTGAAAGGACCACAGCGCCTAAAACACTGATTGCCATCCTCAGTGGGAGAACAAGTTTCCAATTTCATCAGCTGGAAGGAAGTTGTGTGTGTATACTCAGTTTAAAACACTAGAGAAAATGTGGCCTTCCAGGGCAGCACTTTTTCTGGGTCGAGGACAAGCCAACAATTCCCCCATGATTTTGACTTCTCTGTCCTGGCTGATTTAACCCATGTCTTCAGAGAACATCTGCCAGGTGTACTATTGGATTCAATCAGACTGGAGAGGAAGGGGAGGCAGGACCACTATGACCTTGAGGGCGCTCACAAGTCGCCACCTAAGAGCATACCTGAGGGCGAAGGGTCTGAGCCCTCGGGTACCCTTGGTGCGAATTGCCCCTGTGGGCTAAGTGGGCACAGACACTAGTGCTGCTGGCTTCGGGGTGGCTGGAGGAGGTAGCCTGGGAGAGTTTGTAGTCTACTGGGGAAAACCAGAGAAAGAAGAAATAGCGTAGAGGGAGCAGGTGGGCCATCGGCCACTTTCTTAACCTTAACCCTGACCCACCTGTTCCTGTCAACGCCACCTACCCCACTAAAGAAGGGCAGTGTGCGCGCCGTGACGGCCCAGCCCGAAGCACGCTGCGGGCCTCGGCCTGCGCCTCCTTCCTGGGGCCCCGGAGGAGGTGCGTGGGGAAAGGGCCTCGGGCCAGGGCGGGAAACGCCTGACCAGGCCCGGCTGGTCGATGAAGCCGAGCTGCCTCCCGGTCGTGCCCGAGACCCTAGAAACCCAGACCGCTCTCCTCGGCCATCGAAGGGGCGCCCTCTGTGACTGGCACCCTTCCGCCAAATGCGCGGGGGATGAGCCCAACCCATGAGCCAAAACCCAGGCCACAGGAAGCAAAAGACACGAGCCATATGTGACGCGGGGAGGGCGGTGGGGCCTAGGCCACCTCCCGACCAAGCTTGGGGGCTTCAGCACGGCCGCCTTGGCGTCTGAGACCCAGGGGCGCTCCCACCTGCCACCCAGCCCGGGAGCCGTGAGCGGCCACGACCGCTTCCTCCTGCCATTCCCGGCCTGGTCCATCTCCTTTAGGAGTGGTTTCAGGGCCGCTTGGGGGTCTCGCCAGGAATTCAGCTCCTTGCCTCAAAAGAGGAAGACCCGACGGGGGCTTAGGATGTGGCTCCGGGGTGCCCAAGGCCACGGCAGCCGCGTTGTCCCACGAAGCTCAGGCCGCGGCACCTCCTTGCAGCCTCTGCTTTCAGGGGCTCCGCGGGCGGCACCACCAGGCCCCGCGCCTGGAGCTGCTGTGTTGCGACTCCCTCCTGGAATGTGGATGTGAGCGATCCTCCTCGGTGCGGAGGTGAGGGGACCCCGCCCGGGTCTGGGGTCGGAGAGCAGCGGTGCCTCCACTCCCCGTCTCTCGGGAGGCAGAGGAGCAGGAGCAGCCTCCGGAGTCTGCGGGGTGGCAGGAGAAACCCCCCCTGTTTCCTGCATCCTGAGACGCGCGGAATGGAAACCTCTGGCTCCCTAACCTGGAGTTCTGCCTGCAGACTTGAGCGAAGACCTCCAGGCGGCGGAGGCAAAAGGAGTGAAGCTCTTTCGGCCGCAGCTGTAGGCGCGGCTGCGGCGGCGGCGAGGCAGAGGAACAGCCGCTCGGTGCGCGGTCAGTGCCAGGGGCCCGACCGGCCCTCAGGGTGCGGGGGCCAGCGGCCGGACAAGGGTCACTGCTCAGCAAATTCAGAGTTCGCCCACAAGTGCCAGTGCCGCTGCCTCTTCCTGGAAGCCTCCACTTCATCTCTGGGTCGAGACTGAGCTGTCTTTGCCTGGAGGATAATTCCCGGCCCCATCGGCGGCGTCTGGTTCTCATGGGGCTTGGGGGCTCTTGAGTCCCTGTCTGCTAAGCCAAAATTCAGGAACCGCCGGCCAAGCCCTCGGGCCTCTCGAGTATTTAAAGAAGCTTCGTTCTCAGCCAAGAGGTCAAGGCGAAGAGGCAACCGGGACCCGAAGTATCCTGTGTTCAGATTTAAAATATCCAAAAATTGAAAATCGCCCCAGTATAGCATTACTTTATTTTACTCGGTAAAATTCTGTAAGTTTTCGTTCTAAAAACTATCTAGAAATCATTGTTTATTACTTTTGGCTCTCTTTACGAAATCTGTAAAGGAGAAATCAGAAAGTGGCTTTTGATTCAGTTAAACCGAGAAGACAAGAAGGTAAATTGGAGGTCCCTTGACAGCTGGTCCTTGAAGATTTCCTCGAGGAAAAAAAGAAATATGGTTAGTCCCCCCCCTTCAATGATTGCTCTAAAATGATTGCCAAGAAAACTCAAGGTAACATCCAGCTTTCTCACCTCGTCCTGCTTGTCCCCGGTTTAGCCAGACCAAGAGGAGGATGGTGAGGGAGGCACATTGTGCAATTTCTTATTAAACACATCTGGAATATGTGCACTCTGGATCGAATGCCAGGGATTTTACAAAGAGTTTATGACTGTGACAGAAAATTGTCCTTTTAACGAGTTTACAAGTAGTAATCACAGGGGCTTTTACAGGACCGGCCGGCCTGCTTTGCTCCCTGCCAGATCTGCAGACATTTCCAAGATTCACCAACCAAGGCAGCAGGAAGTGGGCCGAGGCACCCAGGGAGACAGAACTTCCCTGAGTCTAAAATTATACTCAGCAGAGCTGGAAGAGTGGGGGGTAGTCATCAGAGTAGGAAGAGAGGGCTTGTAAGAAATTAAAGTAATTGGCCCTTCCTATTTTCCAGGGAGATTTCCGCCGTGTCCTTTGAAGCCTGTCAGGGTCATTGAAAGCTATCTTTGTGCTGGGTGTTTGTTTTGGGCAGTGAATGTGAAGAATGCGAGGAGATCCCCTGTGAGAGCCCCTCCTGCAGAGGGTGGCATTTCTCCGTGGCCCAAGACGTGGAGAATAAACACCCTAGTGACTTAAATAAACACCAACTTAATGATCCAAAACACTAACAAGGGAGATTGGGACTCTGAGCTCCCAATGCAAAGGATGGTCTCTGAGCAGCTGTGTGAACATCTGTCCATCACTGAGGGGAAAAATGACTTTATAAGTAAAAGTGACTACAGTTAAGTACAGTGACCCTTTCTCCCTGGAACTCAGTCAAAGCCATTTGGCATTAAAAAATAATAATAAGAAGAAGGCCTTAATATCCCTACCCCCACTTATAGATCAGGACAAGAAAGATAGGAAAGAGTAAGAAAGAAATGAACATACTAATGGTGACACAGATGGAGAAAAATCAAAATTATGAAACTGTCATGTCATAAAATAAATAGACTTCCTCTGGGGAGCAATATTTTACAAAGCACAAACAAGCCAATCCTGTTATCCTGAGTAGAGTTTTAATAAATAATGCCATTTGTTTCACTAATTTTAAAAGCTAAATACAAGGTACATCATTTTTGCCCCAGGCAAAAATAATATGGAGCCTACATGGTTACTGGGATTTTTTTCTGGACACCATCCGGCAGCACGGCAAAGAGCTCCTGTCCTGTCTGTCTGCTTTCTATTTGTACAGATTAATTCACAATGTTGCTATCCTTGTACGAGCTCCCTTTTGTTCTCCAAGCAGATAAATTATTTTACTTTCACAGTCTTGTCATAAATTTGTTAATAATACAAAAGACCTAACGTACGAATTCTGTGGAGAAAAGCTAGTGGTAAACAAAACTGCATGTCTAAGTAATAAAAAATAAATAAATACACCAAATTTGAATTCGCTCTTTTTCTGTCATATAATTAACTCAGTCACCATTCTTGGTTCAGGGGATGGCCTTCAACGTACCCTGCAATTCATAACCACCAGTAAGTAATAAAGAAAAAAAAAACCTATTTTTTAAAAAAGGGGGGGACCCAATGACAGCAGTACACAACTCACCTTTCAGAAACAGAATCAGTACTCCTGGTGTTCTACTAAGTTTTAATTTAGACTGGTTTAGGTACAATGGAAAAGAAACCTGCAAACACATGCTGTTTTAGTAACAAATACCAGGTAGCCAGATTTGTTACGTATTTTTGCAAGCTAGAAACTAGGAATAGGAGAAACCCTTAACAGGAGTAGGCTACAGATATGAGAGCTTCAAGGGCATGAGAAGTAATGGCATTCAGGAAAGTGTTTTTTCACATTGGTACATTTTTTAAAGTTTGCCATAAAAAAACCCAAGAAAACAAACAACAACCAAAAAACCCCACTAAATTTGACAAAAATAGTTGTGTTACTAATGGTCACTTCTATTTCTAACTGCCTCACATAGAGAGCATTAAGACATTTAGGCACTTCTTTTTTTCCCCCTAATACTGTTCTTTCCTTTTAATCTACATAAAATTATTTAACACTAAATATGAAAAATGTAAACTTAATTTTCCCCATCAAAAAAGGTATAAGATCATATTTTTCCTATTCACCTTAAGAATGCAACCAGTTCCTCTCAGGCTGGAGGATCTTTTCACTGTTTTAACTTCCCTCTCTCTCTCCTTTTCATTTCCTTTTCCGCTTCTCAAAACATTTTCCATAAATAAATTAAGATGAAATAATTAAAATCCAGTTGATCTGTAATTCCATTCACTGAAAAAAAAAAGAAAAAGAAATGAAAAAGGAAGCCTACTGAAGCAGGAACACGGGTTGCCCAGAACCAAGGCTGGGTAACTGGATGTTTTTGTTTGTTTGGGTTTTTTTTTTTCTTTCCCTGTTCTCCAAACTGGGAGGGGAAATGTAGAAGTGGAAAGAGTCGGAGAGAAGAGGGCACTATGTTTGAGATCACTGTTGGTTTTGATTTTTAAAAAGATATTTGTGAAAGTCCACCATTCCTTTATGCGCAAAGAACCCCAGAAACAAGCTGCAAAAAGTGTTCCTGATGTCTATTTACAAGTGTCCCTAGTTGCTGCTTCGAGGCCCCAGTCCCTCCCTTCTTAGGACCCCAAGTCCACCAAACTGGAGGTGAGGGGGCCCAGCAGGGAGTCCTGGAGCTGATGCTGGTGGGCTTGCAGGCTGTGCGCTGACTGTGAGGCTGTTAAACCCGGGAGAGAATAGTTGGAGCTCCTGGTGTGGCCCATGTTGCCCTGCAGCAGAAGGACCGAGTTCTGGTCTGGACTCTGGGGAGGTGAGAACTCTTCTTCTGAGCTGGACATGAGTGGCTTGCCCCCTTCCAGAGGAGAGAGCTGATTCTGCTTGTTGGAGGAGGAGTTATTGTTTTCCGTGTTCTCCCTAAGAAACAGAGGACAACACCATATGGTTAAAAAAAAAAAAGTGTGAGATGGAGGGAGGGGAGCTGGAAGAAGGAAAGGGCCATTGTGCAATCAGTCACTGACCCAAATGGAGTTCTGCCCTCTCACCCACCCCACACAGTCCTGGGGGAAAGAGAGGAGGCCTAAGAGACTTGAGAAAGGTGATGCTGGGTCCTTTCCTCTTCCAGAATTTGGAAAGTCAAATCAGCAGGGCTGATTTGAAATGCACAAAAATTATTTTTAAATTTTTGTTCTAACAGTTATTATTAAATACCTATCAAGGCGTGAGTACCACATTTAGAAGTAAAGAAATCTGAAAATCTTCCAACAAATGGTAGTTGGTGATGAAGAAAATGACGGGGGGGTGGGGTCCAACAGGGCCCAGTGCACAGATGTTTGGTGGTGAATCAAGTCAATTGTCCCGTTCCCATCTGAGGAAACAATTAACCATCGAGTTTCCCTGCCGCTGCCTGGAGGTTGTGGTTTCAGAGGCACAGGACAGGTCATGGGAAGTGGTGTCCAGAGCGGCCCAGTGACCTGAGTAAACACAGGGAGCGCAGCCAGTCTCTCCGATTTCATCAGGGAGTGGGCCCTCTGGCCTGGCTTAAAGGACGGCCGTTTTGTAACAGACGTCTAAATGGAACTGTACTGTCCCTGGCCCGGTGTTATTCGCTCAGTCCTCAGTGCCTCACGGTGCTCTTTCAAACTCCCTGCGGACACCCACACCGGTGCACCCTTTCCCGGCAGGGGAGCGTCAAGACCCGGCACAGCCTGAGCGGGTGTGATGTACCGGGGTGTCAGCCTGGGCGCTCGGCGCTGGTAAACTGTAAGGTCCGAAGCCCTCGCGCTTCTGCCTCCAGAATGCTCCCACCCCGGAGTTGCCTGTCTCTCCAACTCTCCCCATCTCTCGCAGTCTCTCCCAAAATGCCCATCTCAGCTGAATTTCTCCAGACTCTTGCTTCCCAGAGGGAAACAAGGCGGCGACGTCTTCGGCCCCCAGGCTCCGAAGCAAACAAAAGAAACTCGGCAGACTCGGGCGTTCAGGTTTCCCCTAAACTGCTCAGCTCCCCGGAGCGCTCTCCCCGCCGCCGCCGCCTCCCCAAGGCTCTTCCGAATCTCGGTCGGAAACTCTAGAGCACAAGAGTGGAGCCGGGCCAGGTGGCCAGGGGTGTTCGCAAGAGGAGGGGGGAGGCAGAGACAGGTTGGGAAAAAAATGTTGGCTTCTGTGTTCTGGGGTGAGAGAAGTCTGAAACTGGAGACCTATTCCTCGCCCGGGTGAGCGGCGCGGACAGCGGGCCGGACCCGCCGCGGCGCCCGGCCACGCGCGAGGGAGCCGACGACGAGCAATCAGTTCTGGGCTTGGGGCGCCGGGGAGTCAACGCAGCGCCAACCCTCCCAAAGCGCTCTCTTCTGTGGACTTCTTTCGAAAGACTCCTCCCTTTGTGCAACTTAGTGCGGATGGAAGCGACCTCTCACCCAAAAGACTGCCAGGAAAGCGCGACTAAAGGACCGGGCGGGAGTGGAAACAGCAGAAGTTTCAGGCCAGCTTCACCTTTCCGGGGTGCGAGAGGAGAGAGGTTCGAGACCCTCAGCCCCCACTGAACCCCTCCCCCGCGATACCAATCACCATTTCCCTTCTGCTTGATCTAAAAACGCACTCTCCACCCGCCACTCCTCTCCCCCTAGCCAGCCAAGAAGACATGAAAAACAAACCTAGCGCCAACATTTCCCGACACTCACATCCCAGGAAATCCACGCGCGGACACTCAAATCAGATGAACACCGCCCCACACCCTCCCATCCCTAGCAAGCGATCTCAGAGTTCATGAACTTTCGCCGCAGTGCCGCGGAGGCCGGGGCGCCGCCCCGCGGAGCAGCTCGGGCCAGAGGGGTGATCGAGGTGGTTGGTGCCTGCGGGGGTGGAAAGGGGCGGAGGGGAAAGGAAGGCTTCCCAGGGTTGCCCGATCTGCGGGAATGATGCCGCGTACCTTTCCTTGGCCTCGGCGGCCCGGTCTCTTTGCCTCCGGTTCTTAAACCAGTTGCTGACCTGGGTGGTGGTGAGACCGGTGGCCTCGGCCAGCTCTCGCTTCTCACGCGGCGAGGGGTAGGGGTTATGCGCGTACCACTCCCGCAGCACGCCCCGCGACTTCTCCTTGAAGCAATAGCTGGTCTCCTCGCCGTCCCAGATGGTTCGTGGCAAAGGGAATTTTCGGCGCACCCGATATTTGCCCACCGCGCCCAGGGGCCGGCCGCGTAACTTCTCGGCTTCCACGTAGTGAGCCTTCAGCCACAGTTGTTGCAGCTTGGGGTGATTGTGAGGCGAGAACTGGTGGCTCTCCAAAATCTTGTAGAGCTCGCGGAAGTTGCCGCGGTGGAAGGCGACCACGGCCTTGGCCTTGAGCACGCTTTCATTCTTGTGCAGGTGGTCGCAGGCGGGCAGCGACCACAGGAACCTGCCCAGGCGCTCCAGGTTCCCGCCTTGCTGCAGAACCTCGCACACGCACGCCACTTGCTCCTGTGTGAAGCCGAACGATGGCAGCATCGACATGGCTGGGGCCTGCCGGGGCGCACTACCCGGGCGCACGCGGCAGGGAGCAAAGCTGAAAAAGCAGGGGGAGGCAGCCGCAGGGAGGGGGGCGCGGCAGCTTCTAACCCCCTCCCTAGGCTGTGCGAAGGCGTAAAAGCGAGTCGAGACTTGAAGACGGGCGGCCGAGTAAGTGGAGGAGGAGTAGAGCGCGCGCTGGAAAAGGAACGGCCGGCTCCCTCCGCAGCTTTTCGGGCCTCGCTGGCTCCTGCCTCTGGCCGGGTGGATGCTGCTCGTTGCCGGGGAACTTGGTTTCTGTTCTCCCTGCAGCTGCCTTAAAGCGCGCAGCGTCTTCGGCGCGCTGATTGGCTGCGGGCGGCGCCTATCCGGGGCTGGCCAGCCCGCGCGCCGCCCGGCCGGGCCGCGAGGCCGCGCCGCCCCGCGCGGGGAGGGCGAGGCTGTACAGCGAAGGATAGGGAGTGGAGGGAGGAGAGGGAGCGCGAGTGGTGGGAAGCGAAGTGGGGAGGAGGGAGGGAGCGAGCGGTGCTTCCCGGGGACGGGGGGCGGTGGGAGTGGGTGAGCGCGTCAGGACCTTGCAACATGAGCCCCCTCTGCTGTGTCACCTAAGGGCAGCCGCGCACATCTTTGCACAAATCAATGGCTCCAGACTTTCTAATTCCCCTCCTCTCCCTCCGTACCTCTGTCCCTGTCCTTTGCAGACTTGCCATTTCCCGGTGAGCTCATATTTAATTACCTTAATGTTGGAATGAATAAGTAATGGATTGATGAATAGCTTATGGAACGCGATAAATAATACAAGAGTAGACCAGTCCTCCAGGCTGCAGTCGCTGCAAGAATGGCTTCTCTCCTGGCTGACTTCAGCTCCAGGAGCCAAACCTAATTTCCTCCCCTCTTCTCTCCTGCCCCCACCGCCCTCCAAAGCGCACAAATACTCCCAGCTGTATAGCGCTTCCCTCATTCTCAAAAGGCCGCGACTATTTGGGACCACGAGAAGAGTTGTGTAGAGCATAGTTGCTGAGCAAATAGAGGTTCCAAGGGTTCATTTGCGATTCGGAATTTTAATGATCTGTGGTTTAAGTCGGCCGGCAGGCTTCTGGACTCGGTTTCCCTATCTGTGCGGTTGCCACCTCTGCTACTGAGGAATGCTGAGAAGCTTTACTTGCTATTAGCAGAAATGCTTTGGGAACATCGCACGAAAGGCGCTGGATGGGGTGTAAATTAAATAAAACTGTGTCCGGCTCCAATAGCCGTTCGGTTGTAACATAATATTGCCCTGGTCTTTGAGGGACACTGCCCTCAAAGCGAGGACGACCGCGGCTCCAAGAAGATTAAATAAAGAGGGGTGTGTGTGTGTGTGTGTGTGTGTGCATGTGCGTGCGTGTGTGTGTGTGTGTGCGCGCGTGTGTAGATTGCAGTGCTGGCCTATTTTACTGCTAGGGACTGAGAGATGTCTTGCAATTTCAGTCCCATCATCTGTTATTTCGTGTATGTGTGGAGAATGCTTAGTAAAACTACACAAACAAATGGGGCTGTAATTATCTTAAGCCTCATTTGCACACCTTGTTGCAAAGCAATTATTAAAAAGATTTTGAAAACAATTAGCGTCTCTAAATAGAGATAATCTATTGTCAGTAGCTGAGACTGGCAGGAGATAAGAACAATGCATGGAGATAAGGGGAGCCAAAGGGTAGAAGGAGAGTGACTTTATGACTATACTTATCTCTGATTAGATAAGTTCAAAACAGAATTTTAAGTACACTTCAAAAATGCTTTTGATTTAAATGCGTCCTCTTAGTAAATGAGGAACAAACTCTAGGTTCTTTAAGTTTGCTTTTCTTCTTTAAATATGTTTTGGTTCCATCAGCAAGAGCATAGAATCACAGAACCATTTACATATTGAGACAAAAGTGGGAATGGAAGAAGGAGAAGCACTGTGTGGGTTTCCCCTTGTATTATTTAGATGGTTTTAAAACAATGCACCCATTCCAATGCACCCTGCAATGTACATCTTAAAGTCATGAAGGGTTTCCACACCCTACCCACCTCCATCTGTCTCTCTGGAGACTGAGTAGACACCAAGCTGCTGCTCCGCTGAACTCCCAAACAAAGCTTTCTGCATCTTTGAAACCTTGAAACCCTTCAGTATCCTAGGCAATTAGAACTTGGAAGCAAATGCTGATATTTCATTATGTTTGGGATTATCTTTAAGTGCATTTAATGGGTGCATATTATTTCAAGAGAACCCCTACCACATGGTGTGCCGAATGACTTACTTTCTAAACTGGAAACCTGGCAAAGCTGAGTCCAAGCCCATGTGTCTGGTAATTTTCCCTCATGGTCTTATTTTAGTGCTCATGATGTTTCATATGAAGTCTTGAAGAGCTGCAGTGTCCTGCCAGAAGGAATGTCTCTGCTTGGAACAGTCCTTATTGACATGGCAGCTGTGTGCGGACTGGAAGGGGGGTTTAAACTCGGCTCTAAAAAATCAGTTAATACCCTAAAGTCTGGAGCAAGTGCGCAGAATTACAATGTGTGTGTGTGTGTGTGTGTGTGTGTGTGTGTGTGTGTTGGGGGGGGACAGGGGGAGTCTGTAAATATAACCACGTCTCTTAAATACCAACGAGCCTACCTGCTATTTCGATCCCTCGGTTAGGGAAACCAATTTTTATAAATGTTAATTATTGGCTCGGATATATAAGGTTTCCCAAAATGGAACCTTTCACTGCAAACCACTAAAAGAGGTAAAATGACATGAATTTACAAACCACATAAACCAAACGATCCATTTTAAATCGCACACAGAAAGGTTTGAGTTGTTCTAGTAACTTAAAACCTTTTGCTGTCAATGCAAATCACAAAAAAACAGAGATTCGTCGGAGATTTAAAGGCAACGAACAGCACGAGCTGCTGCCCTCGCCGCTTCGTGGGTCCCTAGGGTAACACAGCTAGAAAGGGGCTCCCACCACCAGGTTTCTGCTCTTCTGTGCCTCCTCCGTGCAGGTAACCGCAGGGTGCACACAACTGGTCTGTGGAAAGGTCGATGCGGAGGCATCAGTTGGTGTTGGGGTTTCTCGGTCGGGTTAACACAAGGCCTTGTGTCCTCTGGCTGAGACCCACTTATTTCCCTTCTGGCTTGGAGCGAGCTGCTTGGAGGCTCCTGGCCCGCTTTCTTGGAATTCTTTTGCCATCAAGAACGTCAGCGAGGATTCTATTCTACCTACAGATATTTGAAAGGGACGGGCTTTGGAAGGTGTTTCATCAATGAATTAGCGTCGTCGCTCTGGGGCAGTGAGGATCCCAAATCTGGCTGAAGTGACAACGTTCATCTTTTTCCTTTACTTGGTCGGAAACTCCAGGTGCTCTCGACCCCTCCAAATGCCGGGCTCCGAGGACGGCGAGGCGCCGGAGCAGCCTCCCACCTGCCTCCTGAGGGACGCTGCTCCCCGCGAGTTCTGGATAGGCCGAGGGCTCAGGCAGGGCGATGTGCGGACCCGAAGGAGAGAAATCCAAAACCAGTCCATTAGTAAATGAGTTTTGTGTTGTCAAGGTTCTTTCCCATCCACTTGCTGCTCTGAAAAATAGATCACGTTTCGTTATCTTTAGTGGGAATCTGCAACGTGACACCGGATCCGCGCGGCCCCCGCCTCTCTCCCTCCCTTCCTTCCAGCCTCGCTTGGCCGGGCCAAGGGGAGCCGGGCGGCCTCCTTGGCTTATTTTTGAACAATGAAGATTTGTCTGTTCCCCTAATATATTTATGTATGTATGTATGAAGGGAAGTTTTCTCCTGGAAGCGGGAAGCGCGCGACCAGAGCCTCTCGCTTCCTTGGTGCGAAAACGCAGCGCCAGCCCAAGACGCCGGGAGACTGCCGTTCCCCGCCCACACCTGGACAAACAGAGCCGGCAGCGATCCCGGCTTGCAGCTAAAAACCCTGCCGCCCCGCGCGGCTCCTGAAAATACAGTCTCCACATTGTCTCGGGGTCGGGGAAGGGAGAGAGGAAAGAGAAGAACAGGCAGAGACACACCGCCGCGAGGGAACCACAGTGAATGGGGACCGTGCTGGAGTGGGTGTGCGTGTGTTTGGGGAAGTTACCCTCTCCCTCCGTGTGCTTCTCCAGGTTTGGTCTCTTTCTACTCATTCTCTCTTTCAGCCTGAAAGAGGAAGCTCATTCATTCTCTGTGTGAACCTCTGATTCCTTCATTCTCTTTTACTGCCTCGTATCTCCATCTCACCCTCTGCCGTTTCGTTCCCTCACTGTCTCCTCCGCGATTCTCTCTCACACTCTCTCTGTCCAACACCCCGCCCCCACCCCACACACACCCTCTCTTCTCTCTCTGGATCCCTCTATTTCTCTTTTGCTTTCTTCTCTCTTTTTCTCTCTCCTTCCTCAAAGCTCTTGACGCCTGCGCCTGCTTCCCCAGGACCAGGCGCTGTGAGGTCTCATAGACCATGCTGTGCTGATATCCTGCACCCAGGCAGTGCCTGGTGAGTAGACTCTGAAGTCCTGGCAGGGGCATCTGGCTCAGTTGGTAGGGACCCACCACACGGAGTGGTGGTGTAGTCAACAGGTGGGGGTGCCCATGAAGGACTGAAGAAGGTGGGTTGGCCACCTGGGGGAAAAGGGCAGATTTAAGCTGCTCTCTGAGAAGGCATAGGCCCAGAGACTTGCCAACCACCAGATTTGAGTCAGAAGACACCATTCAACATTAGATGCCAAGCACCTTTCTGGAAAGTGAAGGACAGTGTTGTGAGAATCTGTTCTTAAGAGCCTAAGATGTTCTTGCCTCCTTTGCTTTATTAATATTACCTCAGGGCAAGACTCCTTATCTTCCATTGAGTTTCCAATCAACTTTTTTTTTGGTCAACTAATGTACATCCTGAATACTGCATCTGTCTAAGCTAAGAAGAATTTCCTTTTGGGAGGTGAAAGCCTGCAGTTACTCCTGTTCAGAGGAAAGTGCTAGTGATGGTAATGCAGGGTGACACTAAATAAACAGTTAGGGTGGACTGGAAAGATGGAGTTAATTATCCAGTGAGCTGCGTTTCAGCCCAGACCATCAGGGGCTGATTTGTTTTGGCTCATGGTCCAAGGAAGGAGACAAACCACTCTCTTCTCTACATCTCTTAGGGATCCTGATCGATCCTGTCTCAAACAAAACAAAAATCACTACCCAGGTATCACTGTTTCAATTAAAATTTAGTGTATTACTCCTCTGCAGATTCTACAAAAATGTCCACTCCATTGCCCTTTATCTCTTGAGAGAAGACCCCAAATGACTCACAAATAGATTCTCTAAATCTTTTTGTAGAGACCCATTGGTAGGAAGTGAACATCCAGCACTCCCACCCCACCCCCCATCTCTTCACTTACATTTTTACAACAGGCTTATAAAACTATGTGTTTATAAAAACCGAGATCTTAGTCTGGTTTTCACGATGATTCCCCGGCCCCCCCCCCCAAAAAAAATCAGGCTTCGTGAAATTTTAGATGCAATTAGATTTATTGTTTTCGTGATTCACTGACTATCCGGTTTCCTCAGGTAAGCCGGCACTTACATATAAATCCTAGTAACTTAAAACTTCTCCCTCCCCACTTTGCTTTTCCCTCCCTGCCTTTGCCCACCTCCCCTCCCCGCCACATTCTGATATTAATAATCCCCGGCTGCCCCTCTTTCCGGGTCATTACGGTACTGCTGGTCTCTAATCAATCCTAATGCGATGGCAATTGGAGTCCCTGATGACTGCGGCTCGGGTTTCTTGTAATGGCTCTACCACATTTTCCTGGACCTCCTTCTTTAACCTGAGATGCCAGGGGGACGAGTCCCTTCTCGGCTGCTGATTACTTCAAGATGTGGGGGCTGGTTTGCGCAGAAAGGGAAAGAGACACGCGCACAGCGTGGCTACCACTGCAGGCTGGGCCGCTGGGGCGAGCAAGGCGTCTGCGCGCTGGGAACCGGCACCCGAACGCCTTTGGCTACTTTGTTTTCTCCCCATTTTCCAGGCCCAAACTCACCCTGGTGGACCGAGATGAAGATTCTTAGAGGTTTTCTGTATTTGTTTTTCCCCCTCTGGTGCGGAGACGCCTCATGGCCTCTCCAGTTCTCGCAGGTTCCCACCCTACAGCGTGCGCCAGGACTCCCGGGCCAGGCCTGCCTCTCGCTCAGGAGGGAACGCCTCGCTCAGGAGGGAACGCCTCGCTCCGGCTCTTCTTTCCTTGTGGCTGTCTTCTCCCAGTGCCATTCTCCCGCTCCAATTTTAGAGCAATTGTCCTGAAGCGGAGCTGGATTCTTCTTCATCTCTCCCTCTGACCCTTGACCTCTCTTCCCTTTTTTATCCCAGCAATGCCTGAAGCTCCCAACCGCTTCCTGACCCAAAGCCGAGGCCAGAAGCTTGGCCCTGTCTTGTCGGGATTTGACCCTATCTCTCACGATTCATGAAGGAGACCATCGCTCTGAATCCTTAAGCTCTAGGAATAAAGCCCAACATTTCTTGCCGGTTGGTGCCCTTGGGAGAGAGAACCAAGAGCGGGAACTTGCGCCCTACCTCCCTCTCCCTGGCGGATGTCTTCCAGCTCGTCTCCCTACCCCTATCCAGGCCCGGCAGAAAAGCGATCAGCACGTTCGCGGCATTTGTATTCTTCCATTTCTCAGCCCAAAGCCATTTAGCGTAACCCGAGCCCAGGATAATTGCCACGTTTCTGCCGCGATACTTTAAAAAACAAGATAATGCTTCTGAATTGCGGAAGAAAGTGCTGTGGACAAATTGGGCGCTGAGCTGTCGAGAAGGTTCGCTTTGTTAGGGGCGGCCGGTGGTTTGTGACTAGATTAGTTCATTTCTGGGAGCCGCCTGCGCTCTGCAGCGGGGTGAGCCCGAAGCGAACTGTGGGGAGATCTAGGGGAGCACTTCAGGCCTCTATGTCGGTGCAAATCCACGCCGTGGAAAATGTTTCTGCATTCCCATACGAGTACATTGTTTGGCTTCTAAAGGAACCAGATTGTCGCGGACAGAGAAGCTTGACTGCTTCTGCTCCCGAATGGGCCGCGAGCATCGGTCTGAAGCCCCAGTCCTCTGAGCGGCAGAAGAGGAAATACTGGGTGGAGGGTTCCCACTCACGCATGCCCCTCCGCGCCTCTAGCCCACTGGGGCTGGGCTTGGATTTTGCAACCATTTCCAACACCGCTGCTGTACTTGGAGCAGCCCTGCTGGAAGCCGGCAGGGTGAGGCTTCCAGGCAGCCGGGGGGCCGCGAGGGGCGCCTTTAGGGCTGGGAACAAGGCTGTGGGAGCTTTTCTTACCTCAGGTTCAACCGCCACCCCCACCCATCACCCCGCGTGCAGGCCCGCGTCCCCGTTTCACCGGCCCATCCCGGGTCCGGGGTAGGCTTCTCCGCCAGGTGTGCGCCGGGGCCCAGGAGCCTTTGCAGCGCAGCGTACTCGCAGCCCCGCCCGCGGGCCCGCGGTGCCCAGTCTGGGGGAGCCGGGCTAACCCCCGCCCCGCCGCCAGGAACCCCTCCCCGGGGCCACGCTCGAGCGCTGCGTCTGCGCTGGGGACGGCTCCGCCCAGTTCTGCAGCCAGGGGTCCGGCGTTCCGGCCAGACCAGAGGTCCGAACATGAGAAGACTTCGGACTCCGCCGCTCTCTCGGGCTGTTCCCCGAAGTGATTCTGGGAGCCTAGAGGCATAGGGGCTTAAGGAAGGAAGGGACAGAGCCGGGGAGGGCGGGGGCGAGAAGGACGCGAGGGCAGGTCAACGGAGCTGGGATGGGGCGCAGCCCAGCGGCGGGCACGGCCGGAGGAGAGAGAGGGCGCTGTCTTCCTGGCAAAGGATCCTCGGCCTGGCCGGCAGGAACTGAAACGGGGGAGGGGGGGGAGGAAGAAAGAAAAGCACCGGAAAGGAAATCTGCCTAGTCGAGCCCGGGGCGGGGGAGGGAGGTGGTGAGGGACGCGCTGTGGGGAGGGCCAAGGGTGGCCGAGCGGATTCTCAGCCCACAGCCCAGCAATCGCTTCTCCTGCTGCGGCCTTGCTAGCGCCGCGTGGCCCCGAGCGAGACTCTGCTTTGGCCCTAAAGGGCCCCCCACAGTTGGCTTCCCTCCCTCGCTTTCTCCTTTGGAAAACTGGAGGCATCGGAATAAGGTATGCGACGCTTCACTGGCAATTGAGGTGCCGCGATGTAGCCAAGGCAAGCCAGGGCTGGGAGAGAACCCGGATCTCCTTTGCCTGACCGGAGCCGGCTTTTCAGTTTTTTGTTTTGTTTTGTTTTGTTTTGTTTTGTTTTCAATTTTCAGGAGCCCGCGGAGGAAAACCGCAACGCCAACCAGGCCTTCACGTCGAATCGCCGCAGCAAGTGGCCTCACCTGGTTTGGCTGCGTCTTGCCGAGGAACAATGAGGAGTTGGAAGGCCCTCTTATTTTCATCGACTGGCCTGGGTGCAGGAAAACCGAAGAGGTTTTGGCCCCTGGAAACCAAAGGGTCCCAAGGACAATTACTGTCAGCCATTCCCCCACTCAAACCCAGGAAACTTAATTTACACTACTTCAGGAGAAATTCCTATATCATCTACAAATGATGTGTTGTCTTTCCATGCTCATAACAAACCAGTCGAAGCAAAACAAAAGGATCTCAAACTTACTCATCTTCAGTCTTGAAAGGTCCCTCTGTGTTAATGGATGTAATCAAAGGCCTTCTAAGGTTGCTGATAGATAACTAGAACCGAGCATCTCCTTACATGTCCGCCATCGGAGAGTCCCAAGCTCCAGTCCTTACGTGAATTTCCGGACTCTTCCATAGCCCTTCCGGTAGAATCCAGGTGGCCCCATAGTTCTGCCTTTAGCAAGAGAGCTATTTCCTAGGAGTAACTGGGTGGGCTGCAACCCGCCTGCCTCTTCACGTTGAGAAAAGCTTCTCTTGTGGGAAGGTCTGTTTCTATTCATCCGATTTTCTAATGTCTTTGATCAGCCTAAATATTTTCTTGGCAAACGGAAATTGACCATGCCATGAATATGATAACAACCTGCTTGGAAAGAAGCTATTTTGTTTCGAAGCGGCAAGCGGGGTTGGGGGGGGGGGGGGNTGGCTGGTAAGAATGCCTGAAATAGATTCCTGAACATACATCTTTTTGCAGTCTCTGAAGCAGCTTTTTGAAAGATAGTCAGATAAACACACACCTGGTCTCCTAAAAGTCTTTGATACACTTTATATTTAAAAAAACAGAACTTCAATGGACGCCTCTGGAGAATTTCCCTTTAAAACATAGATGAAAGGCAAGGTTAATACAATGTTCTCTTAATCCCTTTGGCTTGTGAGTCAAAATAAATATTTTCTTCTGCATGTGATTGTACATCCTGCCATTTGGCTGTGGCTATAAGCAAATCGACCGGTAATAAAAGTGTTTTGAGGTTGTGTATTAAATGCAGTCCTCTTGAAATCAAGGGTTGGGGGCAGGGAGGGGCCTTACTTCACAGGCAAGAGTTGGTGGGTTTCTGAAAAAGCTGCAAGAAAAAGACCTTTCACCTCTCATTAGTGATGCCATCAGTGCTCAGGCAGAGTGGAGCTGAGGTCATGTTACATATGGCACACAGTCTGCTCAGCACTTGAAACGTCAGCTTTGAAATTTTAGAGAGGGGAAAGGTCATCTTTAATAAGCTAAAGTCTGGGGCTCCCATTGCCCTCTTTGCAAACTGGGTGGGTGTCCATATGCTTCAAACCTTCTGCACAAGTTTTGTTGTTGTTTTTAGTTTGCAGTTTTAAGCTGATTTTTTGTTTCACATCTTCATTTAAGCTGTAATGTTTTCAGCTGTTAATATACCAAAAGGCCTTTCATTTTTATAGCAACTCTGTCATCTTTCCTTTTCTTCTCATGCAATCATAAAACTGTCTGTTCTGAGTGATAGCTTTTTAGAACTGAGCTTCCCAGAAGAAATGAAGTGTATCTGTCCATCTGCATACATGGATCCAGACATGTGGGCTATAGGGTTACCCTTCTGAGTGGGTAATTTAGACTTCACTTTTGTACACTACATAATTTACTGAACCTTCAAAACGTTAAAACTTCCATGTTATGTAAAAGCTCTAGTTTCTGAAAACTTCCTGGTACTACTAAAATGTTTCATGCCATTTACTGAAATTTCACATTTTATTTTTACCATGTAGGGGAAACTCTCAAATCAGAAGATATTGATTCTTCTGTAAGGTTTAAAGTTAAGGCTGACAGAAGCTACAGTGGTAGACACAGCCCTGAAAAAAAGAAGTGCTAATATCTTACTTCCTTGTTCAAAAAAATGTTAGGAACATTTGTGAATGTTTAATCCTCATATTTTTTCAAGAAGTGAAGTCAACCAAACCCAAGGCATGAAACTATACCCAGATCTCTTTGTAGCCACTGTTAATATGGATATAAATATTTTTCTTTCATGTCCCTCTGCAAGGAACTCCTCATTTGTCATTGACTCAATTCCAGAAACTTTTTTTCCTTATGGACCTACTATCCAAGAAGAGCAGCTTCAGCACACTATTTTGTGTATTCCTCATTTTTCTTCATGTCTATCAACCTATGTTGTCTGTTTATATCACCCCGATTTTGGTTAGTTTTTTTCTTTTTTTCTTTCAGCTTTTTTCTTCTACATCAAAGTTACATATTTTGTCATTATAAGATAAACTTTATTAAATAAGACCACTGTGCATGTTCAGCTTCTACCAGTAGACTGAATGGTCTTTTAAAATTCCTTCGCCTACTTTGCAAATTGAAAACATTGAAACAGCCTCTTGAGTAAACTAGGGATTCCTTATTACTGAGAGATTTAATGATTATGATATGCAGATAGGTGTTGCTTTTGCTTTTGTCTCTAAAAATCCTTAATTCTGGATGAGCGAAACTTTGAAAGAGCAGTCTGTATGATAGCAACTGAAACTAAGAGTGGATAGAATAATTTCACAACCAAGTGTGACATCAAGTAAATAATTTATTTCTAATTAGTTTCCTACATTAGAGTTTACTGCTAAAAAGCTAGGAGACTTTGTGATACTTTAGCTAACCCAAAGCACTTGAGACTTTGAGGACCTAAATGGTTAAGTTCAATCAGTCTAGTCAATAGAAAGTCAAGATAAAGATGCACACTGTAGTCTCAGGGAGTGCATATGTGTTCGAGAGAGAGGTACTGTTGCTTTTTTTGTTTTTGACTAAATTTTAAAATTCCCGAAAATACTCCAGGAAAATTTTAAGAGCAGGTTGTTTTACTCTGAAAAACAAGGAGTGAAATATTTCAAGAAGCAGATTCATCATCAACAGGTCAATAATTCATTAAAGGCCCATAAAAAGAATGCTAATAATTTACACATTTTATAGGATCCTTCACTCAGGAGACTTAAACATTTTACAAGCCTGATCTCATTCATCTTCTCAGAACTTTCTCAACTTCTCAGTATTATTATTGCAAAGGGTGATTATTCCTATTACAAAAATATGGCAGAGAGGCTGTACAAGTTGCCCATGGAAGTATAATTCAGAGGCAGTTTGGGGATAAGAGCTATGAATCCCAATAAAATAAAGAAGCAATACAGATATATTGTACAGCACAGAGAAATATAGCCATTATTTTGTAGTAACTTGAAATGGAGTATAATCTATAAAAACATTGAATCACTATGTTGTACACCTGAAACTAATTTAATATTGTAAATCAACTTTACATCAATCTTAAAGAGCTTTGAATCCTAGATCCTTTCCAATTTATCTAAGAAGCAATTTTCCATAAAGAGATCAGATTCAAAAGATTTCAATTTAGTGAGTCCTTGTAAAATTTTATCCTCCCTAAGTTAGACTCTATAATTCATGTTCAAGATTTGTGAGAAATTTCATAAATGTCTTTCAATCACTAAGAAAAAGAAAATGTAACATGAAGTGACATCAGTCTGCACAGGTCTGGTAGTTCTTCCATCCTGTTTGGAAATAAGTCATATTCTTAGTTGGTATAAATGTCATGTGGGAGGAGACATACAGATTACAGAACCATGAGGTAATTACTACAGCTTAACTGTCCTACAGAGAAGCTATTAAGTGTTCATAAACAGGGTTACAATAGGATACATATTCGATGAGAAGATTTAGCCTGTATTTTCAATGCTTACAATTCTTTCTTTGGCTTATTTAAGAGAAGAACTACTAGAAATTCCAGAACAGTAAGGATTTGGCTTGTCTAAAGCACAGTGTTTCATTAAGTTTAGTAGGCATGCAAAGGACCTGAAACACTTGTAAAAATTCAGTGGCCAACCCCCCCAGAATTTTGATTCCCTAGATTTACAGTGGGATCCTGGAATCTGCATTTTATGGCAGCAACTAATTTTAATGCACCTGGTTAGTGGGCTATTCTTTGAGAATAAACAATCACTCTGCCTGATGTAGGAACATAAAAAGGATATGTTCTATCAGCAGGAACAATATTTAAACTGCAAATTTTTACCTAATCAGAATTTACTTTGTATGATTTTGAAAGAGAATTTTTAGATTAGATTTTTTTATTGGGGAGGGGAGAATTCTGGGTTTCTGAAGGATTTCGTTGGCCTTAAGATGTTTCTAACTAGTAACTAGATAGAAAATAGTTTGTCCTCTTCAAGTGATTCCTTCCGCTAAATGAGTTAACAGGGAAGTGACATCAGACCAGGACAATGAGACAAAAGAAACATCTTTGAAGAAAATTCAGCACCAGCCATGAAAATTAAACAAATCTCATTGACCAAAGAACAGTATTGCCTCCTGAGTACACCTTAAAAACCAACAGGTTTTATGAACATCTCTCAGTGTGCACGATCCCATTAGAACAGTGTAACCCAGTTGAGCACCTCTTCCTCAAGATTTGCATGAAATGAAGATGCTCTGGAGTGTTGCTATAATATGACAAAAGGAATGGAAAATAAAATCTAAGAGGAAGTTAAAAGTGTTGTCTACACTGCAAATAGTGGTCATTTGTTGCTTGCTTACAAATGTTTAAAAGTATTTTTACAGTAAAGAACACAATCACATAAATGGCAACTTCTTGCTTATGAGAGGGAGATTAAATACCCAAGAAGGTTAATAATCATATTTTATTATTCTCTCCCTTTAAAGATCATTTGAAAATGAGATCATGGAAACATAGATATCAGACTCTTTGCTGTTGGAAGACACCAAGAAGTCACTGGATAAACCTGTCACTCTAAGTAAAATCCCTGCAAAAAAAAATCCCTTTGATGGGGCAACCCTCACCGTTGTTTAAACACTTGAGTATTGGAGAACTCACTACCTCACATCTGTTTTGTATGTTTTAAGACTTAACAAAACAAGAAAGCTATGCCTGGTGGCATGAAATCCATGATACAAATGAGAGAAGCATCGAGAGGATCTTCTAATTACGTGTTGGTCAAGTAGAAAGTTAGAGTAAGCTGTACTGGCTAAACTGCTTTCTCAAGTTTCCATTTTAGGCATTTCTACTGTTTGCCCACTGCCTAGTAGGCTGCTGGAGTTCACTATAGGAAAAGTAAATATTGTCATTTCAAATAAAGAACTGTTTATTATATAACAGAACAGAGGCTGTCTTCTATTTTTGAGATTCTGCTAAGTTAATTGGGGACAGTAGCCAAAGCAGCTGCCCAGGAGATGATGTTTTCCAACAGCTACAGTACTTAAAGCTGAGCTGGGTTCATGTTTGTCTACAGGGTGGCAATCACATTGTTCTCTTCCTTGGATGTTCTTTGGCTCCTATTGGGGCTGAGTAAATGGAGGCACCATTTGTACTACTTTACCAGCCCATTTGACTCCTGAAGTGAGGTTAAACCATACGGCGAGGCAGATCAAAGTCAGACCTGATGGCTCCCTACCATTAATGGGATTCAGCTCAGACTCTTCTCAATGAAGAGGAAAATGTTGACTTAACCCCTATTTCCATCTAAATCAGGGGTTCCAAAATTTTTATAGATTTGGGACTGGACTCAGTGTTTTTAATAACTTCTCCACATCCATTTTGTTGGAGGTTTGTCTGCTGCCCATGTTTTGAAACACTGGCTTAAATATATGACAGAAGAAGGAAATCTAGACTGAGTAGTGATTTAAGATAAAGCTTTGGTTAATGAAAGAATGTTTTTCAGAAATAACACTTTGCACTTCTACGATGCTCTGTGCTTTTCAGAGGACTGCTTCTTTTTGCCCCTCACTTGTAAGATGGATAAGGGCCAGTGATATTATTAACTCCATGTTACAAACCTTGACAGTATGCAATAGACTAATTTTTCCCAATTGCCTAGCTATACTATTTAATCTTTGCCAATCTGATTGTGGAAGTGTGGCTAATTTAAATTTTTTACTTTTGCTATTATGAAAGTTTAGTATCTTTTTAAGAATTAATTACTTATTTATTTTTGGCTATGTTGAGTCTCTGTTG